GTGTGTGCGGGCGTGGGTGTGTGCGGGCGTGGATGTGTTTCCGCCCTCTCCAGGCTGGCTGGTTTTATGCCGCGCAACTTGTTCATTCGACAATCCATTTAAATGATTGCCTGTTGCCTGCCTGACTGCAAATAGGAGTGCATCTCCTCTGAGCCCACTTCATATAACACATATACTAAAACGAGTGGACCTCCTCAACCAGCATGAACAAAGGTAAACAGACCACACCAAGTGTAGGCGAGGAGGCAGAGCACCAGGACACCTTTATCTTTTTAAGGGTGTGTGACTTTATGATAGAGACTCTTGAAAATCGGCAGTTTTCTAGTGAAGCCGAAATTATGCCAATCCTGTGATCCAGCAGTTCCACTACTCAGTTGTCAACGCCTAACAAATGCATATGCGTTAGCAACAAGAGTGTCCACAGCACTATGCACAATAGCCCCAGACAGGGAACAACCCATCAGGTAGGATGGAAGATGAATTATGACCAATTCATAGTAGAGGCAGCAACCAGAATCGCTGATATCCCGCCAAACCCCACTGGACAAGTATCACAAACAAACTCGACACGTTAGAGGCTGGGCGTGGTGGACGCTTGTAATCCCAGCATTCAGGAGGCTGAGGCAGGAGGATTGCTGTGAGATGGAGGCCTGCTTGGCCAGAACTACATAGTGAGACCCCGTCTCAAAAAAGAAAAAAAAAATCCACATTAGATGAATCTGTTTATATGAAGTTCAATAACAAGAACTCATGATTGGAGAAGTCATGATGGTGGTCATCCTCAGGACTGGGAGGGTGTGGGAGGGGGGGTCTTCTGGGAGCTAGTCAGGTTATGTTTCTTAATCCAGTGCTGGTCCTCTGGGCCTATTTACTCTGAAAACTCATCAAGGTGTGTACTTATGATGTGTGTACATTTCCATGTGTGCACTGTAGTTCAATTAAAAGTTTAAAATTAATGTGATGTGGTGGTGGTTTTGTTTGAGGCAAGGTCTCACTGCATAGTTCAGTTGGCCTCGAACTCCAGATGACCCTCCTGCCTTGGCCTCCTGAGGGCTGGGGCTACAGGTGTGCAGCACCGTGCCTGGCTCCATGCTTGCTTTTGAGGCCGGCCGGTCAGGAGATAAAGACTGTGCTTGGCACACAGTGAACACTGTTGAGAAGTGTGTGATGTGACCCCTGCTCGTTGCTGTGCCAGTGGCCTCCTTTGTCCTAGCAGTGGCCTGGCCTCAGACATACAGTCCTTCTCTCAGTTCTCTCTTCCTAAACTCAGTTTCCTGCTCTTGTTTGTGTCCTCTCGGGCTGTGAACTCCTTTCGGGGGCCAGAGAACAAATATGGGCCAGGACCGTCCCAGTGCCCAGGGCCGTCCCAGTGTCCAGGACCGAGATGCGGGGATGTGCGTGCCTCCCTTCAGAGTCACGCCAGCTGATGGTGCTGCTGTGTGGTTGCGACCTTTCCGAACCAACTCTGAAGCTTGTTCTCGCTGCAGGGAGAATGCGTCTGAACACCTCGCCCTTCACAGACAAGGGTGTGGGCAGGGACGCTGTTACTGGCCTAGTGAGGATAAAAGTGGAAGACATCTAAGACAGGATGGAGGTGTATGCCTAGACGGTCATTCTCCAACTCACCGGGGTCCCGCCGCCCCCTTGCACCCTACCCCCAGCCAAGAGGAAGGGACTGAAAATTCCTGCCCTGCCGCCCCACACCTTCGTCCTCTTGTGCCCCGCTTTTCATCCCAAGCTGCCCAGACTTCCAGCCCTGCCTCAGGTGGGACCGGAAGCTTCGCCCAGCAGCATACAAGGCTGCGCGCCGGCCCTGACACCCCGGCCCCCAGGTCCGCTCGCCGGTCCAACGACCTGCCTCGGGGTCTGGGCCTCTTTCCTGACTAGGCCGGAAGGCGGGAGCTGAGTTCGGGGAATCCGCCCGGAGAGAGGGGGCGCGGGGGGGGGCTCTTTGGGGTATGGACTATGATTGGCTGCGCCTGGGCCACGCCCCTACCCCTTTCTCCCCTTCTTCCCCCCGGGAAGGGGGGCGTGGAGGGAGCCGGGATCAGCCAGGGGCCAGCATGAGCCTGAGGGAGGGAAGTCTGGGTAAGGGGCCGAGGGACTGGACGCTGAGCCCCCGAGGGGAGTAGGAGGCAGGGGTGACAGCTGGGTCGGGAAGGGAGTGGCCTAGGAGGGGAGAACGGGCTCCGGTGTCAGGTAACGAGCGGGGAGTTGGGAGACTGGCAGGAGCAAGGGCTCGGGGGAGGCCTGGGGCCGAGACGCCAGGGGTTTGAGTTCGAGGGTTAGACCACCGATCAAACCGGTGAGTACACCCTAAGGGAGAGTCGGAGTCCGAGCTGGGGCAGCCAGGGGCCGTTGAGATTTGGGAAAGACTCAAGTGCGGTGGAGCCGGAAGGAGGGGTAAAGTTAGGGAAGGAAGTCCTTGAGTTGCAGGAGCTAGTAGTGAGGACAAGACAGCCCAGGCAGCGGGAGGATCGCTACTGGCTATGGGAAACTCAGGCGGGGCGGGGCTGGAGTTGCCGGGCCAGGACTACATTCCCCAGCATGCACTGGGCGCTCGCCTTGTGCTTCTTGGGAAATGTAGTCCTCCCGAGGCGTAGCGCTCTAGCCTGTGCACCTGAAAGGTGGAACGCTGATTCATGGATACCCAGCCCGGCGCTTTGCATAGCGGCGCATAAGGAGGGAATAGGGCCTCTGTCAAACGGGCCTTAAGGCACACTCCAATTTGAAGTTCAGTGATGCTGCATTCTACCAAAAGTCACAGAGGTACATGGAAGCCCTACGGGGATCCTGAGACACAGCAAATACACAGAGGTAAAAGAGCTACTTTGGAAGTATGGACAAATGGGCTTAAGTCAAAGGAAAAGTTCATTTCAGGGAAGAGAGGATCTGGAAGTTTCACTAAGGAGATAGAATTTGAACTTGGCTTTAATAGGATTTCAACAGAGATATGAAGAGGACATATTTCATATAGCACAACTACTTGACAATAGTCTGGTGCCTCATTTTCTCTCAGTGGGAATGGAACAGAGTCTTCTGAACACTGGAGAATCCAGAGCAGAGTTTCTGGTTCAGGAAGGAAGAGACTCCTTCCCTCTTCCCTGGCCCCAGGGAGAAAGGGCCAAGGAGCAGGGGCTGGGGCTGCCCTCATTCTTGCCCCCCTTTCCCACCAGAAGACCCCCAGGCTGACTCCTCAGTCTCATTCCTTCCCCACTTGGAGGCCAAGATCCGTCAGACACACAGCCTTGCCCGCCTCCTCACCAAATATGCTGAGCAGCTGCTCCAGGAATATGTGAGTGAAAATGGGGGTCGGGGTGCCAAGGGCTTGGGGATGGGGGAGCACATGTCACAGCGGTCCTCCATCACCCGTTCCCTTAATCCATCCCCAGCTGTGGAAATTGAGGCTTTGGAGAGGGACAGTAGCTGGCTGCTGGCCACACAACAAGTTGGAGGAGGACCCTATATGATAACCTGTCTGCCTCAGCTTGGACACTCCCTCCTTGGTGCTTAAAATCAGAAACAGCCTGAGAGAGCAGGAACCTGAGATTAGGTTCCAGGTGACCGTGTCACACGTGGAAGTGAACTGTTCTAACTGGAATATACAGAGAGGCCAAGAAAGGCAAAAATTCTGCACCACAAGGGAACTTTTAGAGAACACAGGCGTCTGCCAATATTTTTGCCTAAAGAAAGAAGATAATCTTCTAAGCACCTTAGTGTGGTGGAAGAAGGCTGTAGTTTTGTATCAGACAGACTGTAAACCTGCCTGATTTATGACAGTGGACAGTATTTCCCCAGTGATGAGTGTGAAATACTGTGTTTAAAGTAACAAACGTAATGCCTGAGCCAGAGGCAAGATGTTTACAAAGGAAAATGTTATTATAGCATTTGACAAATTGCAGATCACTTTTATCTTTCACTGTTTATTCAAATGACAATTAGTGACTCATCGAGTCCCTGCTCAATACCTGTACAAAGGTGGGGGAGGATGGGAAGAGGTGTGTCTTCCACGATAGCCAAGGGGTCCTGGTAGAAAGAAAAAAGAGGGAGCAAGCAGTTTCCTCAATATATAGCTAAGAAGACTGAGGCACCTAGGAGCTTTTGCCCGAGCGGCGCAACTAGTAAGTGGCCAAGGCAAGACAACATTAATAAAAGCAGCTAACGTTTATGAGCCCTTGTGGGGCCGGGCCCCGTCCTAAGCACTCCACGCGCACACCCGCCCTGTGGAGCCCGCGCCGTCAAGGCTCATTCCCGGGGAAGAGGAGAAGGTGCGGTAAGAAGACTGAGGCACCTAGGAGCTTTTGCCCGAGCGGCGCAACTAGTAAGTGGCCAAGGCAAGACAACATTAATAAAAGCAGCTAACGTTTATGAGCCCTTGTGGGGCCGGGCCCCGTCCTAAGCACTCCACGCGCACACCCGCCCTGTGGAGCCCGCGCCGTCAAGGCTCATTCCCGGGGAAGAGGAGAAGGTGCGGTG